GAGACAGAGACAGAGAGAGAGAGGCAGAGGGAGAAGCAGGCTCCCAAGGAGCAGGAAGCCCAATGCGGGACTCGATCCCAGGACCCTGAGATCATGACCTGAGCCGAAGGCAGACACTCAACCATCTGAGCCACCCAGGCGCCCGGGTATGGGTTTTATAAGCTTCCTTGATGGAAGAGGTAGATTAAGGCTACAGGCAAAGAAAAGGTTTTTAGCCATTTGTCATCAAATAGGAAATAGTCACGTTTCCATTGGGCATTTAGAGATCTCCAAGAAAAATACTAGAATCCTCAATGGCTAATATGAACTCAATCCACTCTTACCTGAATACATTACAGCAGAAGTGAAGTGAGGTCAGTTGGTGGTCCCAACCCACCTCCCCATTCTCACCATTCACATATGGGGGAGGAGACCAAGGTCTGGCAAATTTGCCCTCATTCTGTGGAGGAAACAATCTGCCAGATTTCTTTATTCCAAAAAGACTTAACCATGTAATGTTGCATTATTTGCTATTCATATTCTGGGATTATGCTGATTAGAAAGGGGTGCACATCTTCAGATGCTTTGGAACTAAAAGGATGGGGGAGAGTTTTGAGTGTTTTGTGTGTGTAGGGGGAGGTCAGTGAGGGAGGGGAAATTCTATTGGGAAATAAGGAAATGAGATGATTTTAATATACTTTAAATATATAAATTCATCTTGTTGACGACTGGCCATGGGGAGTGGAAGAGGGAGTTATCAGTGAGCTAGGCAACAGTATTATGGGGCTAGGTGTTTTATACTCATTGTCTGATGTGATCACACAGCCAACCTTGCGAGACTGGTGTTACCATCTCTGTTTTACAGATCAGAAAACTGAGGCTCAAAGACGTTAAGCGATTTGTCCAAAATCGTATACATGGTAGACTGAGATATGAACCCAGATCTATCAGATTCTGATCTGGGATTTATTATAAACAATTTGGCAGACCTAAAGATTTGAAGATCTAAACTCTAAGCAGAACTGAAAGCTTTCCAGTTCTCCGAACAATTTTCTAAAAGAGTATTTGAACAAAATATTTCTACTTCCCCCTAGCTTTCTATAGCATTCAATGCTCACTTTCACCCATGGCTCCAGGGTTGGACAGCTCCCTCCTTCTGAGATGCTTCCTTTCCAGAGGGAGCAGGACTTCAGAAGAATTGGCTTTTTTCCAGAATGGCGATGCGTCAGCCTGTGTATGAGGATGTGTGTGTGCATGATGTTTATGTGTATGTGTGAGTGTAAGTATCATGGTATATGTGTGCTTGAGTACCTACCAGTGTGTGTATTACAGGTGCATGTCTGAGTATATGCAAACGTGTATGTCTGTGTGAATGTAGTATGCATGGGTGCTTTCGTGTGTGTCTCAGGGTGTATCTTGGTTTATTTGTGATTGTGTGTGTTTCTCTATGTATGTTAGTATGTATATGTGTTTGTGTTGTGTGTGTACTAAGTATGTGTGAATGTGTTTGTTTGTCTGACTGTGTATGTGTTTGTGTGGGTGTGGATGTCCTGGGATGAGTCCAATGGAGCCTCCCTGCCTATGTAGTTGCTCTCGCTGTGCTTAGGTCTGTGCTTTGAGCCATGTCACTCTGCAGGACTCACAGAAGCCTCTGGGCCCTGCCGATGGGGAAGGCATTGTACCGTGTGACCCAGCATCTCCCCAGATTCCTTGGCTGGTCTGTGGGCTTTGCTGTCTTTTCATGGCTGAGCTCACTCTCTGCCCAGCCCCAGCAGATAACATCACCAAAGAACCCTTTCGTGCAGATAAGATAAAAATGTTCATTTTAAGTGAAATGACTCCTCATATCAGAAACTGAGTTTATAGGTTAAATTCTGTCTTAGTGACATCCAGGATCGGCTTAAATTCCAGTTTTTAAAGTGGAATCTTGTGATACTAAATACTGCATGAAGTAAGTTGAGTTTATTAGGGACTTGGAGATCTTCTGGCTCCTTGGAAATTTTGGTTACAACTTTATTTCTAGTAGGAGACCCATATAACCTCTGTCCTGTTTGGGCTCTCCGAATTTAAAAATAATAATCATTTATTGTAAAAAAAAAAGCTTGTGTTGTTGCTCCTGGAGAGATTACATTTCACACTAATCAAAATAATTACATGGAGTGCTGTCACCTGAAGTGTGGGATCTGAGTTCACAGGTCTCCACCCCCTCACAGCCAGGGATGAATCTGAACTTGACAGATGCCATCAACAAGCTGACATCTTGCAGCTGGGGGGAGGGATCAGCAGGACAGGGGCTTCTGCTTCCCACCCTCCTCTGGGCGTTAGATATCTGTCCCATACAACACATGCATACTCTGTCTACAGGATCTAAATGTATGTCTCAAATGTTTCCATTTGCCCAGTTTTACAGAGCACAAGAGACCCGTGGCTTATTTACTCCCTGTCACTGTATGCAGAGCAGATTTGAGGCTACTTCTTCCCTCCACCTCCCCTCCATAAAATGACAGGGGTAGAGCCAGCCAGGTGAGGCTGTCCAGATCCCTCCAGCTCTCAGGCTGGGTTAGCCTACTTTAGGAATAGGCTCTTGGTTCAAATCCCAATTCACCCATTGTGGGACCTTGGGCGCTTTGCTTCGGGTCTCCAAGCTCCGTTTTCTCATGTGTACAATGGGGTAAGAACACTTTCCTACCAAGTGGTATGGATTATTGAGGTAATATACATCCTGGACCTGGCAGAGTTCATAACAGGCTCTTGACATCTGATTTTACCATTATTGATATATTATGGATCTCTCAAATCATTTCTACGTTATCTTTGTTTTTAAAAATGCTCCCCCCAAATCTACATTGGAATACAGTGTGAAAGATTTTATTTTTTTAACTTAAAAAAGCGCCCTTAGAATGTCCCTCACATTTTTGCCAAACTCGAGCACCCCAGTTTGGTCCCAAGGCCTGAGAGAACCCCGAGTTTGGGCAGCGCAGCCTGACCCAGCAGGAAGCATCCCTGCAAGCTGGAGGCTGAAATGGCTTGTCTGTCTGCTTTTAGTGTTGTTCCTAAGCGTGTTGTCTCCGTTTCCAAGCCTCTAGAACTCCTCTCCCCTGCATACATTAGCCTTAATGTATTCTCTCTTGAATACTCATCATATTAAGGCTCCCGGTAGCTACCTTGCTCGAAATAAATTTTATGAGCACACATCCTCGCCCTCATCCCCCTGCATTTGCGGCCGGGAGGAGAAATATAGCCGCACCGCTCCCGGAGGCAGGGCCAGACGACAGGCAGGTGGGAGCGGGGCGGGCTGCGGGAGGGAGCGGGCTGGCGCACCCCGCGCGGGGACCGCGGCTCTCCGCCCGGGTTCTCCAAGGGTTAATGAGCGTCCGCCGGCCGGGTACCCGGCCCGGGGACTCCGGCCGTCCGCCCGCACGAAGACGCCCCTAGCGGGGCCGTGTCGCCGCGTCCCCGGTGGCCCGCGCGGACAGACGGCGGCCCCCGGCCTGGGACGCGCCCCCCGCGGCTGGTGGGCACGGGCGCGCCGCTCTGCACCCGTGCGTCCGCCAGCCGCTTCCCCGCGCGGGGGGCCTCGGTCTCCTCTCCCCTGCCTTGAAAACCGTGCCGGAGCGATCCTACTCCGCACCTCCTTCCCCCAGCCCCTGGCTCCGCAGCCGCAGGGGCTCCGAATGCAGATGCCGGCAGGAGAACCCCGCGCCCCTTGCCCCCCCTTTAAAAAAATAATTTCTATCTAGTGGGATTTATTTATTTATTTATAATTTTTTTTAAAGGTTTTATTTATTTGTCAGAGAGAGAGAGAGAGCACAAGCAGGGGTAGCGGCGGGCAGAGGCAGAGGGAGAAGCAGGCTTCCCGGCCGAGCAGGGAGCGCGATGCGGGGCTCCATCTCAGGACCCTGGGATCATGACCTGAGTCAAAGGTAGAGCTTAACCGACTGAGACACCCGGGCGTCCCATGAGCCACCCAGGCGTCCCTGCCTTGCCCTTAATGACCTTTACAAGAGCTGCCCCCCTCCCCCCGCGGGCTGGCCTGGTCACACCGCAGGAGCCCTTGGTGAGTCACCCCTCACTCCTCAGAGTCTCCTCTCTGCGTCTCCAGATCTCTCCACGGCTAAGGCCCCCCTGCCCCCCTCCCCTTCCCTGCCACTGCAGGGGTGCCAGTCCTGAGGGACCGTGAGAGAGGCAGGGGTGTAGTTGTAGTTGAGGGAGAACTACCCGCAGGCAGACAGGCATGCCCCTGGCCCTGGCGAAGCTGCCCTGGTGGTGTGGGGGCTCTCTGAGCCTCTACCTGAGGGCCCAGTGAGATCAAGTCCGTGCAAGGGGGGCGGGGTGTTCTTAACTTTCCCTGCCCTCAGCCACAACAGCACCACATCTAACGGCTGGTTCCTGCAGTTATCTCCTACTAATAGCAAGCCTTTATTGAGCACCTACTGCATACTGGCCCACTCCTACCCGTATTGATTCAATTACTCTTCACAACAATCCTACTAGGTACTATTTTTTTTTTTTTCCCTACTAGGTACTATTGTCATCACCCCCGCCCCCCCCCCCCTCCGTTTTAACAGGAGCAGAGAGAGGCGAAGTAATTTGTTGAAGGTTAAAAAGCAGAGCCAGCATTCAAACCCAGGCAGCCTGGCTCTAGAATCCATGGTCTTACCCTGTGTCTTACTCACCCCCCATTATCTGATGGAAATCCTGTTGCTGTTGTGTGCTTAGTACTTTGCTGGGCACATCGGAACTGTTTGGTAAGTAACTTGGTAACTAAATGGGTGAACATTTTCTTTGTCAAGGAAGAAAAAGATTTTTTTAAAGATTTTATTTGAGAGAGAGAGTGTGAGAGAGAGAGAGAGAGAGAGCACAAGCAGGGGGAGGGGCAGAGGGAGAAGCAGACTCCCCGCTGAGAGGGGAGCCTGATGTGGGCTCTATTCGGGGACCCCAGGATCATGACCTGAGCTGAAGGCAGACGCCCAACCGACTGAGCCACCCAGGCGCCCTGGAGAACTTTGAGATAGGAGAAAATGCCATATGCACAAGGACAGGTAGCAGGTATCCAGAGCCATGCGGATCTGCCTCAGTGTGGCTCCTGGTAGTTTTCATGGGGCATTTTGGTCTGAGAATGGGGTCAAAGAGCAAGGCATCTAGTGGGTCTGACTTTCAGGCACATGTTGGTAGCTGCCGAGGCCATAACGGGAACAGGCTGGGTTTGGGGTTTAGTGGGCCCAACACTGACACGTGTCCATATGTCACTAGTGATGTCACCTAGTGAGGGTCGCAGTAGCCTAACTACAGGTCTGAGATACGAATGACTTAGTACTGGAGCTTTCTTTCTACATCGATTTAGATGTGTTCACACCACCCCCCGCCAAGTGCTTTGAGGCTAATTCCCTTATGTTAACACTTTTGAATGGTATCACACCAACACATATGATATGAACCAAGAAACACGGATGATTCCTGAGAGATTTGGTTTTCCTACTTGTGTTGGTATTTTGGAGTGCACCGGAGAAACTGGTGAACTGTTTCAAAGTGGAACTTCTTAGAGAAGATGTGATCAAGTATTTGTTCAGTGGGAAACATCGGCGGAGCTACTCGTGTGTGCCAGGCGCAGTGCCAGGCAGTCAGGATCCAAAGCTGTGAAAGGAACACCGTTCCTGCCCCTTGAGAATCCCGCCTCCTAATGAGAAACAGGGTGGATTGGATTTTGGTTCCCACCGGCCGCCTGGACCGGCGACCTCTGTGCGGTGTATAGCCCACACCATTCTATGTGGCAGCCGAAGGGTTTGGGTGATGTCCTTTTCCTCCCGGGGGGAAGGAGTCATGAAGAATGGGAAGGCGTCCACACAGGGTCCAGCCCGGTGAGCGGTGCTGCGTGGAAGGCTCACCCTGCCTTTCTCTCTGCTCCCCACAGAGATCCCTCAGTGCGCCGGCTGCAACCAGCACATCCTGGACAAGTTCATCCTGAAGGTCCTGGACAGACACTGGCACAGCTCTTGCCTCAAGTGTGCGGACTGCCAGATGCAGCTAGCCGACAGGTGCTTCTCCAGGGCCGGGAGCGTCTACTGCAAGGAAGACTTCTTCAAGTAAGTCCGAACCCCGGGGGCCGCCTCCCTCCCCGCGCCCTGGTCTGTCTCTGCCTCTCCCCCGGCGGTAGGGAGAGCGGTCAGCTGGTGGCAGAAGGCGAGAGTCCCATTTCTGCAGGGAGGGGGGCTGACCAAGGCGTCCCACAAATCCCGCCTCAGGGCACTTGGCTGTCTCGTTGCTGCCACTTTCACAGCGGGTGCTTGGAGGTTCATACCCCGAATCTAGAGGAGTCTCCGTGGCTGCTACGGGGCCCCAGAGGCTTCAGAGAGTTGCTCCTGGTCCGGGTCAAGCCAGGCCCTGTTAGTGGCCTCGCTTTCAGTGAAAGCGTGATGAAGAAGCAGTTTCATGGGATGGTGAAGAGCCCAGACCCTAATGGGGTCTGAAGCACTTATTAGCTGTGTGCTCTCGGGCCGGTTACTTCTGTCGGCCTAAGGTTGCTTATCGATCAAGTGGGCCCAGTAATAATGGTTCCTACCTCATAACGTTCTTATGAGCTTTGAGTGAATCAGTATGCCTGAAGTCCTTAGGACAGTGCCTGACCCCTGAGTGTTAGCTTTGAAGACTGTCCTCAATTCATTCTGGGGTTGGATCCATCAGCAACAATCCTGTTGGTCACGGTGAGGGGACTTCCTAGAATTTATTTTCTGTGGCATTTAGTCTGGGACTTTTCTCCCGGAACCTGTTACCTGAGGCCCTTAGGCTGGGGCCTTAGCTCACTTGGATGGACCAACTGGCAGCAGCGACGCCAAGTACGGGAGGGGGGAGTGTCCGGCAGTGACACCGAGCCCCGTGGGGGTGGCCCATGGGCTGCGCTGAGGGGACCGGACTGCTGGGGAGGCTCATCAAAGCCTGCAAACATTTGGCACAGATGAGGAAGCCTCAGAGAGGTGGTATGCATCCTTCGGAGGTTCCGTGTTCTGCACAAAGGGAGGGGAGGTGGGGAGAGATGCCAGTCCTGGAGACAGAGCATGTTTCTCCCTAATCCTCCCAAGGTTTAACTTCAGGGAATAAGGATTTGAGTTTCTGAGGATTCTCAAATTTCTTTCATCCAGTATGAGTTGAAAAGCACATTAAAGATGAATTTGGTTTCTACTGGGGCCTCCTCTCCTCCATGGCTTGTGTTGAGAAGGCAACACTCAGGGTCACCATCACACTTTGGCCAAAAATGCACCACTCTCTCCCTGTGTGTGTGTGTGACCATGTGCACGTGCACACGTGTGTGTGTGTGTGTGTGTGTGTGTGTGTGTGTGTGTGAGGAGGAGAAAGAGGACACAGGTGGGCGGGCCTGGCCTTGGGGTTGGGTCAGCGGCATTCTAGGGTCTGTGCGCCATCCTCTTCCCGTTTGTCTCCATACCGTTGGGAAGCCTCAGTGAGCTCCAGGGCCGTGGCCTTCTTGCCCACCTGGGAACTGGGTAGGTGCTGAGATGTCCCTGGCTCAGACCACTGGCTGGGGTGCGGGCAAACCCATTAGGATCACGTCACAGGACACTGTCACCAGAGAAGATCCTTTGAGCCCCTCCCTGGGGTTTGGACCTTGACTAGCTGGCTCCGGGTTTGGGAAAGGGAGGAGGTGGCAGCTCAAGTGTAGGTCTGGGTTTGGGAGAAGTAGTGAGTAAAGGGGTCCCTTTAGACCCAGAAGGGGCCCAGGGTGCAGCCTAGGGAAGGATTAGCACAGGCCTCTGAGCCATCAGCCCAAGACCAGAAGTAACAATGACAATTAGTCCCTCAGGCCAGTGCCCTGACCTCCTGCCTCTGTAGCCTCCCGGAGCCACGGCCCTCATTTGGATCCTTCCGGAGCACTGCTCGGCAGTAACCTCATGACTAAATCTCCCTCCTCCTCTAGCCCACATGCCTCCCCACCAGACCAGCATCCAACCTCACAGCTGACCCTGACCCCCAGCTCCTTCAGCAGGGCACCCTCTGCCTACAGAATATGCCAGATGCATTGTGCCATCAGAGCCTTCCTCCCTGTACCCCGGCTCCCTTCTAGTCTTACCTCAGCACTTTCTTGGGTACCCGACGCCCCTTAGCCAGTTGCCCCCTTTCCTAGGCAGGCTCTGACCCAGGCTAGTTTGTCCTGCAGGGATGATGTCTGTCCTCTCGAGGTCTCCCCATCCTTCCATGGCTGTGAGTCCAGCTCTTCCGTGGGTGGGCACCCTGCCCCTTCTCTCTCCCGGGACTCAGCGTGAGTTGCCTTGTTTTTGCTCACTCCTCCTGCACCTGTTTGATCTTCCTTGCTGGCTCGAGGAAAGGTTTATTAGGCATGCGTTTTTCCATTTTTCTGTCCCTGGCATGCCATGTGCCCCTGGCCTTGCCCACAGGCTGTCCCTGGGTTTGATACAATGAAGAGTAGATCCCATAGTGAATTTACAGCGTGTTTGGTGACCAGTTCCTTCTGTCCCTCATATGCTGTTCTGTGAGTCGTGGACGCCCAGGCTGCCTGGGAAATGCATGGGCCCGTGACTTATTTATTTATTTAAAGATGTATTTATTTATTTTAGAGGTAGAGTGCAAGGGGGGAGGGGCAGAAAAAGAGGGGGAGAGAGAATCTCCAGCAGACTCCCCACTGACCACAGAGCCCCGTGTGTGCGTGGGGGGGCTCAATTCTACAACATAGAGACCATGGCCTGAGCTGAAGTCAAGAGTCGGACCCCCAACCAACGGAGCCACCCAGGCGCCCCAGGCCCATGATTTAGTCACAGTCACTCTCCTTGTCTCTGCTTCATAAAATGACCACCCCTCAGGGTTGGAAACTTTTGTGAAGTAGGGGAGCCGGCCACAGAGTCAGTGCTGAATCCGGTCCTTTCTCTGTGATGAGGGGCTGCGTGAAGAGAAATTTAAAGCTGAGGTGCTTCTGCCGGCTGTTTCTGGAGGGTTGCTCAGACCTGAAGATTGGGCCGCTCTGAAGCCCCCAGGGAGGTCACTTGGCTCCCCAGGCAGTGAGGCCCCATAGAGCTCTTTGGGACTGTGGCTGTTTGGTCGAGCCCGTCAGAGTCCTAGGGGAGCACACAGAGGGAGTCAGTCCTCCAGGGTCAGATTGGCTTCACCTTCCACCCCCAGGGGTCTGGGAACTGCTGCCCACGTGGGGCTCAGGCTGTAACTTGGCTGCAGAGCCGGTGGTCTGCTCCTCATGACTGTTCAATAAACGTCACCAGGCACCTGCTCTCAGATGGCACAGCGGGGGACACGTGAGCAGAGAGAGCACAAGGCAGGGCTGCAGGGGCAGAGCAGTCCCGGAGCCCCAAGTCCCTCCCTTGTCCCACACGGGGCTGCAGGAGGAGAGGCAAGTGCCGTGCACTTGAATTCCCCCATCAGACCTCAGAAGGCTTTCAGCTGTGGGATTTGGAGGAGGCCTGGTCAGAGCCAGGGAGACTCTCTTCTCTTTGCTCCTTGAAGAAAAAGAAAAAAGAAAGAAAAACCCCTGACCTTTTCTGCTACGTGAGGAGCATGGACCTCACTGATCCCCTCTCTGGTGTTACGTTTCAGGATCAGTATTTTAAATCTCTTTGCCCATAACAAGGGGCAGGGCCACTGCTTTGCACAACTGTAAGGGGTATCCTTTATTCTGTGGGAAGTGTTTTGAATCCAGACTGTAATGTAAAGGGTGCCCCGCTGGAGGTGGGGGGGAGGTCAGCCTTCCACCAGCCTTCAGCCCACCAGATGCAGTAATCCTAGTGGCTGACAGCAGAGGGCGATGTTGATGTGTGCGCGGACAAAGAAAGAAGTATTGTTTGAAGCTTGTACTCTGTGGTTGTTGCATTTTTCTCTTGGAGCTGGTGAATTCTATCTTGCCCAGTAACCTTGGCTGATTTTTGCTGTTGTTCGTTGGTTTTGCCTCTTGGGTCTTTGGCTGCCTTCCTCCAGAGGAAATGAAATTCTGAGACTGAGAGAAGAGGCCGTGAGTTGACTAACACCGTGGTTCCAAGGCAGTTACAATTGAATCACAAGCTGAGGGGCCAACAACTCCTTGTGTTGCATTTGCTAACCAGGACCTTTCTGGACTGTGTGTCCTGCAAGTCTCGGGTCCCCCATCTCCTTGCCAAGATACCAGGGCCTGGGGAGGGCAGGAGTTTGGGAGTAGAGCTTCTGGGTCCCCCTCCTCACCGCTGACCGGGTCCTGGGAGGAGCCTGGCAGCTCCCTTACCCTGGAGCCCAGTGAACAGCACAGGTTCTCTGCTCCAGGAACTGGTTCAAGTGCTGGCTCTGTCAGCATCAGCTGGGCGCCCTTTGGCAAGTTCCTTAACATCTCTGAACGCCAGTGTCCTCTTCAGAAAAAGCGAGAATGTTGATGGCGCCTGCTCTAGCAGACCTGGACACAGGGACATCTCATAAAGGGGAGCTATTTTATGAGCAGCGTGGTTTGGTGAACCCAGACGGTGCTCGGTTGAATTTCTGTCCTGTCTCAAACTAGCTGTTTGTCAGCAAACAAGTGACCAGGTCTTTCTGAACGTCACTGCCTTATCTGTTCCAAGGCGCTCATTGTAACCCGCAGAGTTGTTGCGAAACGGGAAGGAAATAGCGAGTAAACCATGTCCAGCTCGATGCTGGCTGCTTGATCAGTGTCTCTGGGTTTCTGGCCCTGACATGTGGCCACTTGCCCTACAGCCCTGGAGGGCCAGGCTGTCAGGGCTCTCCCTCGGGGCTAGGCCTGTACTGACTTCTCCTGGCCTCCCACCTCCCCGCTCCCAGCCCCCAGCTCTGAGACCTTCCTGTTGAGATGACATTTAACGTCAGCAGGGGAGGGTAGTCTGGCAGAGCTGGGAGGGCACACTTCAGTGTGCTGGGGCTAAAGATGCCACGGGGATTTGCATGAAGATTTGGGAAACAAAGCAGCAATGATTACAATCTGAAAACAAGCACAGCTGACAGGGTCAAAGAGAGAGCAGCCTTTAGGTAAAGCACGGCATTCTAGAACATTCCAGACTTGCCTCACCAGGGCTGTGTGCTCGAATGAACATTCCAGGCTTGCCTCACCAGGGCTGTGTGCTCGCCTGCCACA